CTCAGGCCTCCGCCGCACCGTGGGGTTGCCTGGCCCCACGGCAGGGGTGGGGGTCCCCCAGAGAGCACGAGACCTGCCTCCGGCCACGGGCACAGACACAGGGTGATTTTGGAGGACTGGGTACAGGGTGATTTTTGAAGACGCACTTTCTCATTCCCTCGGTTAGATGGCTAAAGTTTCCTTCAACAGGATCTGGGACTGCACTGAACCTGCTTAGGCTCATCTCTGCAACAGACCCAAAGCACAATATCCAGAAATTCTGCTTTTTGGCTGTCTGACTGGGGATCCAGATGCCTGCGTTAGGAGTATGTATATATGTGTGTCCATATACTTGCATATGTCTATAAGGATACAGAGGTACAGTTTTGTGTGTATAGTGCTCATAAACATGACAAATTTCATAAGAACAACAGTGGTAAAATGCATGAAGTATTTCCTACTAGAAATATAATGGTTGGTATCAGCCCAACAGTAAATACTTCTGGGCCTGCAAAAAGCTCAGCTGTGGGGTGGGTACAGGCATTGCTGCCATTCTGGGAAGAGCCTGCCTGAGTAATTAGCCAAGCAACCCCCTCTAAACAAACACAGCTTCCCAAGAGCCCCAAACGCTTCACGGGCCACATTTTATGGCCACCCAGTAGCTCCCTGACACCTCTTCAATCACCCTCTAAAGTAGGCTTGCAATATGTTAACAGAAAAAAGCCAGGGAAGGATTTCCAATAGAGCTGTTTCACCTCTCCTGAATCCAGCCTCCACCTTTCTTTTTGGCATGTACATACCCAGACACTTTCTCCCTGCCCCACACAACACCGTTGCAGCTAGTGATGTTTCAGGTCTTGATGGCACAAAGCAAGCCAGCCTCCAGCAGCATCCCAGTGTTGGCATTTAACTGTGAAACGTGTGAGGGTATCTGGAAATAGCTGCCAAATGATTAAGTAAAAATGAAAGATCTGGGTCTTTCTGCAAGGAAGCCTGTTTTGTTTTGCGTTTCTATGAGTCACACTGTAAATAAGGAGCTTAAACATGCTGAATCTGCTTGTCTTGACACCACTTAATGGAGACATTATTAGGGTGCAGGGGAGCACCCTGCAGCAGAAGAGCTGGCCAAGCCCCCGCTCCAACACCCAGCCCTGCTCCTTCCTCCCTGTTCTTGCCTACCAGCTCTGGGCAGCAGTCATTGCCAGGGGATCCTGTGCCCTTTTGACAGGACCCTACTCCCTGGGGCCACCCTGTCCACCCCTTGTGCTCACCCCAGGGGAATGCCCTGCGAGCATCGCTCCTGCTGCTCCAACACCGACCTTCCCAGGACATTTGCTCCAGAGTTTAAAAAAAAAAAAAGTCACATCTGCCATGGCCTCCATCCTTCCCCTTGTCTCTCCATCCCTGCCTGGAAAATGCAGCCCACTTCCTGCAGCTCGAGATGTATTTTTCTTCATCACCATAGTGACAACATGTAAATATTTAGGGCTGGTGGGGTTTTGATGAGATTTTGAAGGTCTTGAAGAGGCTGGCAAACCCATTGTTTATGTTATTTCATTTCAAATGGAGTCTCATGACTTGCAGTTGAATTTGAGCAGCCTTGAGGGGGAAATTTGGGGGGGGTGGCTGGTCTGGGATGCCTGCTGGAAGCACAGTGTCTTGTTATTTTGCCTGTGTCTGTCAGGTTGCCATCTGAAGCAGCTTGTTGAAGACTGTGGCCCTGAGGATGCTGCACCAGGAAACCATCACAGGGGGGAAACATCTAGATCCCACGGAGCAGGAGTTCATCATTCACCTCGAGGCTGAAATGAGACCGCAGCTGCCTTTCACGTATGTCCTTGCCCTCAGGTGGGAGCTCTTCTGGTAGTGAACAGTGGGCTGGCTTTGAATCGGTTGAAAAGAGCTGGTCTTTCTAGGGGACAGCCTTATGGAAACACATGTCCTGGGCAGATGGGAGTAGACAGGAGAGAGTGATGCAGGCCACACAGACTCAGCAGAGTTTGCCATCTGTTCAAGAAGCCAGGGGTTTATTTTTCATATTTCCAATGATGGGTTTGTATTTGAGTTTGGTGTTGTTATTTCTTTTTTAATTTGGTTTGTTTTTTGTTTTTTTTTAATTGAATCTGAACAGTTGCAATTGCAGCTTTTTTTCCCCACTGTGATTTTCCTCCCTCTGCTAACCAGTGCCCCTCGGCTGGGTTTGTGCAGAAGGATCACTTTGGCGTGCCTACCGCAGAGGAAAGCGAGTGGAGCGAGAAACCGCTGCAGCAACCCCCGAAGCTGCCATCCCAGCAGAGCAGCAGCCGCGGGCACTGCCAAGGGCCGCGCAGAGGCACGGGGGGCACGGGCTGCAGACTGCGAGCTCCGCACGTCATGCGAGGGGCTGGAGCGAGCCGGAGCTCTGGGTTGCTAAACAGTCCCGGTGTTTTGAACAAACAGATCTCGTTTTATCCTCCTTACTGTCTTTAGCGTGAAGCAAACAGGCTGTCTCACAGCTGGCCCCAAGGAGTCACAAGGAAGTGGTGCTGCAGGCTCGCTCTGCCCACCAGCTGGTGCCAGCCAGGTGCACCCTTGTTCTGCCCTGCAGGCATCCCTGTGGCACAGCTGTCACCATGTCTGCTGCTGGGCTGCTTTCTGAGGACAAGGTGATGCCAGTCATGCAGTGGACATGCCCCACCCTGCACCCGAGGGCTGCGGGTGTGCTGGACTTAGCCAGGGAGCGGAGCACCCGTAGGGTACCCTGTGCAGCCTCAGCAACACCCTGGGAAGCTGGCGGAGGGAGCGAGCCTGGGCCAAACCAGTGATACAGGCAAAACTGGGAGAAAAATTGACATGTCCTAAGAAATGGCAAGAAAGCAGAGCCGGCGCCTCAGAGACTTCAGCTAAAGCCAAGCCCCACAGCGCCAGGGACATGCCAGCTGCCTGAGTGGCTCCTGGTCACTGCAGGGCTGGGGCTGCTCTGCTGCCCTTCTGGGTCCCAAACCCAGTGAGGGTCACCAGGGATTTCTGCTAATTGGTCTTTGGTGGGAGAGGAAAGAGACTGTAAGAGAGGAAACATCAGGACATCTGACAGTCCAAAGCAGAGAGGGAGGTGTTTAGCAATGCCCCTGGGTGCTTTTCTAGGGTGGTATCAAGATAGCAAAGCGACTGCAGGAGAAGGGGCAGGTGTGCAGATAGAAGCAGTGGAACGGGCCGCAGGGAACGCCTCACCCAGCCCTGCCGCAGTGCTACTTGATTAACTCCTGATAAAACTCCGACCGCACAAATCTGGGCAGGGAGTCTTTCTCCATCAGGGCAAAGATCCTCTTCTGCGCCATGTCAAAGCTGCTTGGTGATGGCTCCACCAGGTTCTTCATGGTCACAGCCTTGGTGAAGTGGTCGATGTTCACCTGTGATGGGAGTGTAAGAGGGATAGGACCCTGCCTTTGCAAGGGGAGGGTGATGGCATCTTCCCTCACCTGCTCTATCCCACCAACAACCACACAAAGGTTATGGTGAGGGACTGAAGCAAGTTCACTTATCTGGGGGAATTACTGGTGGCAAACCTGTAAGGATGAGGTCTATCCTGCAGAAAAGCTAACTTGAGAGAAGGATTACTGTAAATAGTTATCCTTTATGATTAATCTAAGCCCTCTGTGTGGAGAGGTGGATAGGCATGTGCTGGAGGTGCCTGTGGCAGGAAGTAACCCAGCAGAGGCTGAGCATGCAAACAGGGACACAGGGTGTGAAGGATGGGAGTGCAGCATGTGGGGGGCTACTCCTTGCTGAGAGTAGAGCACTGAGCCCCCCAGCCACAGTACCCACAGTACGAGGTGCCCTGCAGACACTCTTCCTTGGGATGGAGCCCACCAGTGCAGCAGCCTCACCCCTACAGGTACCCGTGGCAACTGACCTCTTTAGGTGCCTCAGTCTGGATGAACTCCTCGTAAATCTTCTTGGCCTTCTCTGCCATCTTCACGGGGGACTTAGTTTTCTTGTAGTCCTCACAGGCCACCCAAAATTCGGCATTCTCCTCGCTGAACTCGGAGCGCAGGAAGCTGCGGAAGCTGGCGAGACCATCTGTGGAGGGGCCAAGTCCTCACTTAGCACCAGTGGTCCCAGGGGGGCCAAGCAGTCACTGAGCACCGGGGGGATGTGACCACAGGGGGATGTGACCACAGGGGGATGTGAACTTACAGGGGTTTTGCAGGAGCTTCTCCAGGGAATCGCGCCACTGCAGAGCCTCCTCTGGTGATGGCCTGAAGGGAGTAAAGAAAGTCCAGGTGACCCGTGCTCGCCTCACAGCCCCAGTCTCGGCTCCAGATTTTTGAATAATTCATTTAAAAATGGGGAGGAATGGAGTAACGAACTGCAGGGACTGTTGCAGAGTGGGGAAGATGGTCAATCAAGGGGATGCTGCTGTATTGCAGCACAAGTACCCTCCCCCGTAGAGAGCCAAGTGTCAGGGGAGGCGAGGGTGGGTCTGGGTGGGCAAATTCCCCCATGATGGAGCAGAGACGTGGCAAAGCAAGTCCATTCCATGGCTGTGGGTCCTCTGCTGCCCCAGCCCCCGTGCACAGGAGGGCAGAGCGGAGGCTCTGCAGGCAGCTGAGAACCATCCTGATGTTTCCCTGCTGGGGAGGGGATGCCCCCAGCTCAGGGGAACAGAGGGGGCTGGATCACTCCAGCCCTGGGCTGGGGTCAGTGCCCCTCCACTCCCATAGTGCCCCCGCCCCATTCTCATGCCTCATGGGGGGCAGGACGCTGGCCTCAGCTCCCTCCCTCCCCAGTGAAAACTTTTTGTGTTTTTCATGTGCATGGTTTTTCCTCTTTTATTTATTGGGGTTTTTTTCTTTCATAATGCAATGCTTGAATGTGACTTAAGAGCTTTGTGTGGTTTTTTTCCCAGTTTTCTGATTTTTTAAAAAAATTATTTTGTTTTTAATCCCCAAGGAGTTTGACTGAGCTGCCCTGGGGCACAAGGCTCCCACCTTGTTGCCCACTGAAGCTGGTGCCCGGTGCTGGAGGGGCAGAGAAGCCCCCCGTGTCACTCCGTGACACAGACCATCGCTGCTCCCCATGGGCAGCACTGCTCTCAGGCTTGTTTTGCTGCCACAGGGGCCACGTGTCGGATGGCAGAAGCACACGGCTTGCTCACCAAACTGCCAGCACCCAACACTGGAAACCACGATGCAGGCTCTGATCATTCACTTTCTGGGTCTTAAATCGCATTAGCTGTTGCTATCAAGGATCAAAAGCTCTCCCTGTCCCCATGTTCCCGCCAGGCGTCTCCCCACCCTGGTGAGGGGGAGCATCGCTGCAATGACCCAACACAATCCAAATTTCCCAGAAACTACCAAATTCACTTTTCTGTTATCTGAATGTTCCAGGGATGATATTAACTGTGAGTGAGATGCTGACAGATGCGTGATACCAAGGCTGCACAACAATGCAGCGAAGGAGAAAACAGCTCCTGCAGCCAGCAGGGAGTGAAGATGTTCTGGGGCTTTCTGCGGGGAGATGAAGTGACTGCAGCTCTCTGTGGGCTCTCCTTGGGGTAAGCGGAGTGTTTGTCTGCATGCTGGGGTTGGATTTTGGGTTTGGTTTGGGTTTTTAGCAGTTCCTTGGTGGAAGGTTACTGGTTTAGAGGAACATTGCTAGAGCTGAAGGGGAATGTGGGGAGAAGGACTAGTGTAAAGAAAAAGTTGTGATTTTATAATGGAAATAGAAACCTGGCCTTGTTAAGAGTGGGAATGTGCCCCTTCTGTTTTTCATCGTGACAAGGCCACTTGAGCCCTTCAGGATGAGTCCTTGTTCCCATTGCCATGAGCAAGGCTGGCTGAGCTTCTGCCTCCTCCAGCAAGTTAGGTAGCCTAGGTGCTTTCAGACCTGGGTCTTCTGGCACCGCGTGTGTCTGGGTGCAGCTCAAGGGCAGGGGCATTTGTCCCCAGGGCAGTCTCACACAGCTGGTGGCAGCACGGCTGAGGGGTAGCAGAGGGGCCACGGCAGCAGCCTGAGGTGGAGGTATCCCAGGTGGGGCAATCACCTTAGGTCCAGAAGCTATCCTGCTTTCAAATTTTAGCTAACATTTCTTTCCAAGGTTTATTTTGCCTCCTTCCAACCGCTAGTCCTGCAGCACAGCCCACCAGCCTCCCTAGCTTCTACTCTGCTTTGCTTTGTCATTCAGCCAGGCTGGTGCTGGAAAGCAAAGGCTCAAGATGAAGGCAATAAGGTGAGAAGGTGCCATCATCATGGAGCTGCCCAGAGCCAGGTGTTGCACCATGGGGCTGTGCACTCAGCACCAGAGGACGTGCTGCAGCCCTGAAGCCAACAGAATGACAAGGGTTGCACCTCTGGGCTGAGGCATGTGACTCAGAGAAGTCCAAGTGCCATATGCCTCTGGCAAAAACCTTTATCAAATAATGTGAAATCTCATCAAAAGTAAATTGAGTTTCCATGAGAAATCTGGTTTCCATAAAACTGTATTGCCTGACACGTCTCATGCAGTCCTGACGTAACTCTCCGAGCCCGCGCCCAGCCAGCGGGTCACGAGGAGTGTGCCACGAGCTGCCTGCCACGTAAAGCCCCTGTGCCCAGCTGTAGCAGGGGCTTCAGCCCCTCGCCCCCACCCCTCCAGCTGGGCAAGAGTGCCAGCCCAGCCCGCGCCGGCGCGGTACTCACTTGTGGGCTTTGGGTGGCTTCTCCGGCTTCTCTGGGTAGGGGATGATGAAGTCAATGGCCGAGTCGGGCTTCTGGAGCAGTGTGCCCAGCTTGGTCTTGATCTCCTTGGCCCTGCAGGAGGGGATGAGTAGAGGCAGGTCGGGCAGAGGGAGGGGGCAGTGGGGCTGGTCCCTGCCCTGTGCCCACACAGACCCCAGCATGGCTGCTGGTGAGGTACAGAGCTGTGTAATTAACTACTCAAATGGAGCCTGATGCTGTCAAGGCGCCTGGCTGTGGCACTTCAACCCGGGCACGCAGAATTAGCGTCAGCTCTTGATCTTGATCTCTTTGCTTTGTCCCCATCTGTGGCCAGGATAATTGTATCAGCGGGGCTGGTGCTGCTCTGAGGATGAATTAGGGGATGTGTGTGCAGCACTCAGTTTCTATAGTGATGAGCCCGGAGGAAATGCTGGTGAGGAGATGGAGCTGGCTTCAGAGAAGAGGCTGTGCAGGGTGCTGGGCTGGGCTGAGCCCTGATCTTGATCTCTTTGCTTTGTCCCCATCTGTGGCCAGGATAATTGTATCAGCGGGGCTGGTGCTGCTCTGAGGATGAATTAGGGGATGTGTGTGCAGCACTCAGTTTCTATAGTGATGAGCCCGGAGGAAATGCTGGTGAGGAGATGGAGCTGGCTTCAGAGAAGAGGCTGTGCAGGGTGCTGGGCTGGGCTGAGCCCCATCCCACACTGACCCTGCCAGGCCTGCATCACCAACAGCATTTGGGGCAGGGTGTCCTCATATACATATATAAATATAAGTAATATATAAGCCTTATGTCTGCAATGGGAAGGGTCCTGCAAACAGGTACCTCCTGGGTGCTGCTTTCCTTCTTTCTCCTGCTGGGAAGAAGGGTTCCAGGAGCTGAAGTGCCCTGACTGCCAAAAGCCGTGTGCTAGTCATCACTGCCTCAAGGCCATGCTCCAGACCTCTCTTTGGAGGCTGCAGACACAAGAGGGATACTGGTGCTTGACAGCAGGTCCAGCTGTCTCCCAAAATGTTCCCTTTTGCGCAATACAATTTGCAAGGTGGTCCTGGGGATCTAAAGCCACCGAGGAGGCTCCCCTGCCCGGCAGCTTGGTGGTGGTAGCAAGAGCAAGCCAACATTTTGCAGAGAAAACTCAGGTGTGCTGCATAAGACTCGTGAAATCAAGGGCTGAAAACAGATTTCCCAAACCTCATCTTTGCAGGGCAGAATGTTTTCTGGGCACAGCAAAGTTTGGTGGCTTCCAGGTCATCTTGCTTGCACAGGAGGTGAATGAGAGCAAGGGGACATGTTGCTTCCCCACGGGCCAGCTGGGCTTGGTGCCCTCGCCATGGCATGGCTGTTGAAGCTGGGCTGCAGCTCCCAGCTTCAGGGCCCACTGTGCTTCTCCCGGCTGCTTTATTTTCTTTATTTTCTTTATTTTCACAAGCCCTCTGTGGCTATAGCTGCTATTTCATTTCCATTCCTTTAATTTTTTCCCTCCCTGTAAAACTCGCTCTGTGTTTTGGTTTTCCACCCTCCAGTCCCCGTGGGTGACTATTTGAGACTTGGCATGGGCTCTGCTCCTCTGCTGGCTTCCCCCTTCTTCTGCCGCAGAAACCTGCCTCTGACACCAGGCTGGGACGGGCGCGGTGCTGGGGACAGTGGGAGCGAACAGCCGGCGCGGGTCTGCACAGACCGCCCGCGGAGGGTGTGAAGCACGAGGCAGAGCGCTCCCAGAAACCCAACCGCTTTCATGGAAAATGTCAGTAGCTACAAGGACAGCTTCCGTTGCTTGTACTTCCAAGAAAACTTGAATCTTGCCTGGAAAGACCAGGACCTCAGGCGAAGGGTGATGAGGTCCCCACGCTCCCTGCACCGAGGTATCTCTGGGACAGGGACGCTGCCATGCACCCTTCGTCCTGCTTCCTCAGATAAATAAAATGCAGATAAATGCTCTGAGCCAGAGCTGGCTTCTGATGCCCAGAGCCTGGGGCTGGGTCTCCTGCAAGCCTCAGGTGCCCCTTGGCATCCCAGTGGCTGGCACCACTGTGCCAGGACTCACGTGGCCCTGGCCCACACAGATGGCACAGCTGCAGCGAGCAGGATCAGGAGAACACAGCAGGAGCTGTAGCCTCATTAGTACCAAAGCAATGGATGGGTGCAAAGGGTCCCCCAGGAAAGCTGGCAGGGCAGGATGGCCTACCGCTCAGCTCTTCTTTTCTAGATAGCTATGCTTATGGTCACAGGTCCCCACAGGGAAGGGGACATGCAGATTCAGGGAGCACCTTTCAGAGAGAGGCTGAGCAGAAATGCCAGCTGCCACCTGGTCCCTCTCCCTGCCACCACCCCACACTCAGGAGGGCAACCTGCTGCCTGTGCCAGGTTCTGTGTGCCAGGGAGAGTCCCCTCCAAGTGATCTGACCATGTGCCCATGTGGGGGTTTCATCTGGCAGGAGCAGGGGTGAAGAGCAAGGGAAAAGGGGCTCAGCCACCTCTGAAGTGAGGATGGTGGATGACCGGGAGTCCTGAGCAGGCAGGGGGAAAATACAGGCTGTGCTGGGAGCAGGGGCAACGAGAGCCAAACCTAACACACAATGGGCTAAGGAGTTGGGAAGGCAGGATGCAACTGAAGGCATCAGCAAGCAGCAGTAAGCACTGCCCTGGATAATACTCAGATCTGGTTCAAAATCTTGCTCTCCAATTCCCATCCTCTGACAGTGACTTAGGGCCAACATCTGTCAGGCTCCAAAGGCACTAATGGGCCTTAATGGTTCTGAGCAGCCCCAGCGGAACCCCACACCCTGCCCACAGCCATGGGCTCCATTTAAACTCAGCCCTGGGGCTACCTTCCCTTGGGATGTGCTGTGGGTGGGCTTCTCTCCAGCTTGATTTCCTGGATTGGTGTTGGACCTATATTGCAGCCCCACTACTTGCTGCTCCCAGTGGGGATCCCTGGATGGCTCCAGCCCTGCTACGTCCCATTGTGCTGTTGATGGACACCAGTGCCTGCCCACCCTGCTGAAGCCCTTCAGGTCCTGATGTAGGGAGAGCAGCAAGAACCTTCCCCCCTAAGCAAGTCCTCAGTTGTGGGACCTTCGTGAAATCTAAGGAGACAGAAGAGATGAGGAAGCTTGTTGAAAGGAAGGGAGATAGAACAGCCAGAGGGCTGAGAACTTGCAGGCTGGTGGGAGAAAAGGACTATTTAAAGGCATTATCCTGGCGTCCTCCAGCAAATGTTTTACAAGCTTTCAAGCAAGACTTCAGCAAAGGCTAAACATCAGGATAAAAAAGGCAGTTATAAACAAAAGGCATCCTTAACCCCCCCCCAGCTATGTCCGAGTGAGAAAAAGCAAAAGGACCGTAAACTGTAGAAGGTTAAGTGTGACAACATATGAGAGCAAGCCAAGAAAAAGTCTGAGAAACAGCTTCCAAGAAGCATTAAAAGAAAATACAGGCTCTTGTCAAACACATCAAAAGCAAGAAGGCTCCTGGGGAGGGCTAGGAGAGGCTCTGGCTTTAAAACCAAAACAAAAAAGAAGTTCAAAGAAGTTAAAGCTACAGCTGAAAGCTAAAGCTGCTGCTGTGCCCGAGGGCACGGAGGTGCTGGAGGGAATGCCCTTGGAGGGGAAAAAGGCTCCAGAGGGATTTGAGGAGCCATAAAGCTGCAAGTGTGATACTGCACAGGCGTGTCAGCAGCAGCTGTATCAGACAGTCATAGTGGACACATGGACAAATATGGTCCATTGGAGAGGAGTCAAAGCAGCTCTGGCAATAAGAAGAGTTTCCTTCAAAGCTATCAGCCGTCTCTGACGAGGCCAGTGAGCATGGAGGTTGGGGAGAGTCGGGGGGTACCAGCCCCTTGGGTCTGTAGGAGACCTTGGATGGGCTCTCCAGACCCCAGGCAGCTGCAGGAGGGAAGGCCATCTCATGGATGACAGCATGGGAAACGTAGCACAAAACGCATAGGGGATATGCTGTGTTTTCCTCAGTGGAGACAGTCTTGAGGGAACACTGCCTGGGACCACGCTGTTAAACACATCACACACAGGGAAGAGGGCTGAGCAGCAGATACTGTGCTACCCAGGGACAGCACCTGGTGACCAGTTGTGAGGAACTTCAGGATTCTCGTGAGACTGGCAATGAAGCGGCTGTTGAAATTCCTCATAGAGCAACACAAAACAATGCCTGTGGGACAAACCCAATCTTAAGTCCATGTATAAAATGGTGGGCTGTAAGCAAAGTGGCCTTTCAGGAGTGAGAAGATTTGAAGTGAAAACAGCAGCACGGCAGCAATGAAAAAAGCTCACGTAGTATTGGCAAGCAGCAGATGAGGGACAACAAAGATGACTGCGGAGCAGAAGCGTGTGGGTCAGCCACGCCTGGCAGAGCTGTCCACAGCGCAGCAGGCTGCAGGAGACCAGGCGAGGGGAGCGTGGGGCTGCGAGGCTGGCCGAAGGGCACGCTTCAAGCAAAGAAATTGTCAAAGGCTCACACTCCTGCGATGGGAATTTGCCTTGGTTTTGGGCAAACAGCATCACTTTAGCTGACAAAGGGTGACTTCACTCTTCCCCAGGACAGGGAACGCGACCCTCGCTCTCATCCAAAAATCAGTGCTATGGCATTTGCAGCTGCAAGGAAATCCTCACTGGGTCATGCATGTGTAAAGTCTTTCACCAAGTTTCCTTCTTAGGTGAAGGACTGAGCACTCTCCTGCTGCAGGGAGACGCCAGCCTCATGCCATGGCCTCCCTTCCACCTCTGCTTATCACTGGACTCCTTCCAAAGCCCCTCCAGCTCTGCATGTTTGAATCAGGGTGGAAATGGCTGGGGGCTGGAGCCTGCCTGAGCTCCCAAGGGGTGCGAGCAGCCTGAGAAGCACCACCGCCACGTTGGGCAGGTTTTGAAGTGAGTGCTGGGGCGAGGGGAGGAAGATGAGGATGAGGCTGGGTGCCATGAGTGGGGCACAGCAGGCTCTCCGCACAGCGCCGAGCCTCGTGAGAGGGGCCGGGGCTGGCTAATCCATGTGCGAGGGCAACACAAGCAGTTAAAGAGGATTTTGAGGCACATTAGAGCCAGGTCTGTTTTTGCCGCAGAAAGGCAACCACTTGCCTGCTGTTTTTCTCCCCACTATGTTTTACAGATATTAAGGTCTGATAACAATGTGCTCCTGCCCCAGGCCTGCACTGGGAAGCAGCTGAGGCTGAAGGGTGGGTTTATTGCAGCCCAGACTTGCCTAGCAGAGAGGTTCCCAAATCAGAAGGGAGATTTTGAGACTGGATCGGCGCTTGCCCCTCTGAGGGTCTCAGCCACACACAGCATCCTGCTGAGCCCCCGCCAGCAAGCCTCCCTTCCCTCCCAGTTCAGAGCTGGGCAATCCCATTCCCCACAAGCGATGTCTGTCGTGGGGATGTGCTGTAGGAAGACCCTCTCTGCCCCCAGCAGAGCCCTGCAGGGAGACAGGCCCCTGCATCCCCACGCGGGCTGGCCACTCTCACCTCTCCAGGCATGTGTGGGGCAGCGCTGCTAGTCCTTTGCACATCTTGGCAGGCTGTGGTTTTCCTCAGCTGTGAGAAGAGTGTGAGCGATGGCTAAAGCAGGCGGCAGCTCTTTCTGCAGCCCAGCTCCCAGCTCTCCCTCCTATATAGTGCCGGGAGCTGGACCCCCGCCAGCCCCGTAACCAATGCCGTCCGCCCCGCCGCAGCTGGCCCCGGCCCCGCTGGCTTCTGGAGTTTGTTTTCTACTCTCTAAGCTCACATGGGCGGAAAAAATGCGGGTTTTTTTAGGGTGAGATCAGGTAATCGACTTGGAAGGGTCATAGCTGCTGTTTGAGGGGCTTCAGGAAGCCCACTGGGTTTCTTCTTAATGGCATATCAGGCTTCAGGTCAGTATTTAGAAGAGCCAGGTAGAAATGCTTCATTCAAGTGAGGTTTTTTCCAATGAAAAATGTCACTTTCATAAAAATAGAAGTGCTTAGGAGAAGTCTTGCTGTTGATTTAAAGCCTGTGGCTAACGTCAAAATATCCACAGCTTCAGCAGTGGTTGTCAGCTGGTGGGTAACAGTGACTTCTCTTCCAGATCAAATTCATTTTAATGTAAGATTTTAAAAAATAAATAAATAAATAAATAAAAAATCTAAAATTCATAACAAAGGTTCTGGTTTTATCTGATAGTGAAACTTGGAGGACAAAAAGGATTCCCACCCAGAGTTTTGTTAAGTGGAAAATTTGGACCTTTTTTCCATCCCCCTGCAGAGCAGTAAAACGTGTGCCAGAACCTGGAGCCACCTGTGATGTAAGAGGCGTGGGGCCCAAGCAGGGAGCAGTCCTTGCCTCCCCCTGCATGGCTCTGCCCCATCACTGCCCCACAGGGACAAAGCCCCTTGTGCACCTAAACCCTGGGTGCTGCACAGCACCGTGGTGTTTCGGCTTGCTTGGGTTAGGTCTCTGGTTGCTCAACCGAAACCCGCAATCACGGAGCCAGTGCCTCCCTGTGGCTATGATACCTGTGGCACGAGTTGTGCCCAGCCTCAGCCAGGCACCCAGGCACAGCACAGGCGCAACCCCAGTGAGTGAGGCTGCCTGCTGAGAGCCAAATCATGGCAAACACTGCGACCAGCCTGGCTCCAAGAGGTCCCCGTTGGTGCCTCCCCATGGCTGCTCAAGGGGAGTATGAGTTGCAGCCAGCAGCTGCCATGGAGTCACTCCTACTATGGCTTGGGACTGGAGAGGATAACCACAGCCATCCTGGGCATTTCCATCCTGCCTTCCAGCTGGGATGTGTCAGCCAGCCCTCAGCATGGTCACAGCTCACGGCCCAGGTCTGCAGGGTTGGACTAGAACTAGCGCAAGGCAAAAGCCCTAGAACACAGGTAGGGTGGCCACGGGGGCCTCAGCACCAGCTGTTTTGCAGTTTGTGTAGCAGGACTTGCGCACACCCACACGGGTCTTTACCATCCCACGCTGGTGCCTGTTCCATCACACCTGCTCCGGCACAGGTGCACAGAGGGTGTGTGGCTCTGCTCTGCCTCCACCTCCTGCTCCACCCCAGCCAGGGCATTCCCTGGGCACCCCACACAGGGTGTGGACTCGAGTTTCACTCTGAAAATCTGCCATGTGCCTGTCCCCAAGCTAGGCTGCCTTGGTGACTATGAAGACATACAGCAAAGTGCCTTAATACCCACAGCTTAAAGCTGGGAATAGGAGACCTTGCTCCCAGCTTAGCTGCCCACACCCCAAGAGCAACAATGGTCTTAATTACCCTGACCAGCCCCAGCTGCTCCCCCAGCCCTGGCCTACATTTAAGCTCAGGCCTGGGCCCCCTTTGTCCCACCAAGCTGTGTCAGAGGTGTGCCTGGTTCTGACCCCACTGGATGCACTTTGGACCTGCGTGGCGATCCTGTCTGCTGGGATTGTACAGCAAGCCAGCATCTGCACTTCAGTGCATGAGTGTGGTAACTGAAAGTTAGAAGGCTGCTAGACACCATGCCTCCCTGGAGAGCTTGCATTAGCTTTTTACTGGTTTGTAATGGAAATTGAATGAAAAAAGTACAGCCTAAAATTTCAGAGGAAGAAATGCTTGCATGACGTTTCCCTAGGTTTGGGCTGATGAGAGACCTGCAGATGCACCCAAGCAGGAGCACCAGACCTGGGGTCTGTCCCTTTGCGCTGCCTGACCCAGCAGTCCCCTCACAGAGGGGGAAAAGAAACAATGGTAGCTGCAGAGGAGGTATTTTAGTTCTTCAGGGGCTGCTATCGTTATGCCCTTGTCACAGAGGAGTCAGTGGGGTGGCTCTCTTATTAGCATGGAGATGCCTCGCTCTGGTTTGGGGGTAGCCAAGAGCCCAATTGCTCCATCTCCTGGCAGCTGGGGTGCAGCCCCAGCTCTCCAATGGACTGCAGCCTTGGAAGCTTGCAAGTCTGTTGTGCCGTGCCAGTTGCTCTTAGGGCCAGAAAACGTGTCAGGGCCATTTGTTTCCTAGCAGGGATATCACCAGGGTATCCCAAGCGTCAGGGCAATGCCTGCCAGCTCAGTGGCTGCTTTGAAAGGCTCCTTTGAAGCCGAGGTGCTGTTTGCAGGGTGCTTTGCCAGCCAGCTGGTCACCTCCTGGCACGGTGGGGAGTGGGCAGCAATGAGGGGCTGGTGAGAGCTGCCAGTGGTTCTCACAGCTCCAGGGCAGGGAAGGGCAGCGGGGCCATGGGACTGCAGGGAAAACACACACAGCCTTGCGCTTGGCTGTCAAGCCATTGGGAACACAGTTATTTTTTCTCATTAATCTTCAGAAATAAAGCCAGCATTGGAAATCCCAGGGGATCTCAGATCTGTGGGATCAGGCGTTTTGTGTGAATGCAGTCCAGCAGACACCGAGCACCCTTACGTGCTCTCCTTCCAGCTGCAGCTGGGGCCATGTGCCCCTGGCAAGCAGACAGCTGCTCCAGGCATGCCATAGGCATGGCTCCAGCTCTGCAGACCTCCTGCTGCCTGAAGGAGCCCGGAGTCATGCCCCATGAGACCTTGATGAGGAATCAGGTCTGTCATCTAAAGACTTTTACCTACTTCTTTTAGCCTGGGTGGGTAAATCCCCTGGTCCTGTGGCTCTGCCGTAGCTCAGTGACTGACGCTTGAAAATCCCTTTTATGGTCCCAGGGTGAGGGTTTAACAAATGGACAGAGTAAGTTAGGGAAATTCATGTCCAAAATGAGCCGTGAATCTCCATGTGAGATGGTGATAAGGAAGCTATACCCTGCTGTGGGATTGCAGTTGTGCATTTTAGCAGAGACTTCTCTGAAATGCTGAGAAAGAGAGCACTGAGCAGAAGCAAGGGTTACACAGAAATAGCCTGTATTTTCCACAGACCTTTGTCCAGTAAGAAATGTTTGGTTTGTGCATTGCAAGGCTTTGAGTGCTAAGAAAATATTTCCAATAAGAAAATACGCAGACCTTCCTTTTCTTCCCACGACAGCTTAATTTCTTTAAGAGCCCTTCTGGGACAACTTTTTGGAGATCCAAGTGCACTCCAAGGACCAGTTTATCTTGTGTACACAATAGCTGTTTTCCTCCAATAGTGCTCTAGGTTTGTGCCTTGCAACTGCCCCCTCAAAAGCCACATGGAATCTCCCATTACACCAGATTTATCCTGGGCTCTGTTATTTCAAGATTTTATTATCCTTTCTAACAACTTGCCTTTTATAGAAGGTAGCCTTGCTGCTTTGCAGTTTCCTGGTTCCCACTGGAACTTTTTAAAAATTAGCATCATATTTAACAACATGGGCTTTCTGGTAGAGGGATCACTGTAATTCTTACTGAGGCGAGTACTTGGCAGTTTATCTAAGTGCTTTTTCTGGCAGATTTTTAACCATGAGTTCTAAAAACGGGATTGGTGGTTGGTTTGTTTGTTTTTTTTCCCCAGTGCCTTGAGACAGTCATGCAAATGCACATCTCCTAAGGAATGAACTTACTGTGAGCTCCTTTACAGCAAAGGTCAGTGCAAGTAATTCACCAAGGTTTTCTGTGACAGCTCTTTCTTACTCGGATCCTGATCACGTCCTGTCCCTGAGGCTCTCTGGAGAGCCTTCTGTTTCTCACATAGTCATGATTAATTTTCATGCCTTTAGGAAGCTTTCCTCAGATCTTCTGTGGCCTTCCTTCCACTTGCAACTTTCCAGAGCTTGTATTCTTTTTTATTTTTAAATCTCTCATCTGTGTGCAATTTTCACTTCTTTTAAGGTCTTGCCACTTCTGGATCATGTTTCTCAAGGCCAGCCTACCTCTCATTTCCTTTTTGACAAAGTTATGGCTTTTGCTCTCACCAGTGCAGTCTGATCAGAACTTGTGGCCCCTCATTTGTTACCTTAGAACTAAGTTCGTGTTACCATGAACTAAGTGCATGGTTCCGGAGTCGATTGGTTAACACATAGTATGGGGTTACACCATCCTACCGTCTCTGCAAAGCTTCTGAGGTCCAGCCTGATGGCTAAAATGCTTGTGTAGAAGGAAGGCAACAGGGGATCCCGGCTCCCTCTGCTTGCTGCACCCAAGTCACTGACACAGGAGGCATGGGTGAGGTCGAAGAGGAGAAAACCCTGGCTCCGGGACTCTGGCCAGCTGGGAATTCGGGAGTCACGTAAGCCCCGCGTCCCAGCTGCGGAACCGCCAAGTTCCTCGACCCTGAGCACAAGGCTCGAGACCAGCTGGGGCCATGGCCGAGACATGGGGCTGCTCCTCACGCGTGCTCTGGGCCTGCAATAGGGGTCTGCTCCCCTTCCAGCATTCGGGCAGCACGGGGAGGGCAGCCCACCCTGAGATACACATGGGGCTGGCCTCACCTCTTGCACATGTGGAGCACCCCTGGGAACAGGACTGAGCTCTGGGTCACCTGTGTCCATAAAGACAGCCCAGAGGAGTGAGTGGTGACAAGTGTTCTCAAGACAATGCAAGTCTTTGCATGGTGTTTATGCTACTATAGGTAATAAAGTGACAGCAGCATCTGAACAGCAACAGCCCTGTAGCAGCCCCCCTGCACCCAGAGCAGGTCGGTGAGGACAAGGCACATGCTATGTGTTTGCAGGGACCTACTGCGGGCAGAGCCAGTACCTCAGGCACATCGG